GGGCTGGAGCCAGGTCACCAGGGCTGGTGCCCAGTCTCTGGCTGCCAGGCACTTCAGACGGCCAGGAAGGGTCAGGCCATGCAATCCACTGGGACAGGTGAGATGAAGAGGCCTGGGGAAGTTCAGGGACTGAAGGTATGTTTACACTACCCCGCTAGTTCGAACTAGCAGGGGTAATGTAGTCATCCGCAATTGCAAATGAAGCCCGGGATTTGAATTTCCCGGGCTTCATTTGCATGAAGCCGGCTGGCGCCATTTTTAAATGCCGGCTAGTCCGAACCCCGTGCCGCTAGTTCGAACTAGCGGGGTAGTATAGACATACCCTGAGCGCAGTAACCTGGGGCGGGGCAGCCACTGTTGTGGGGTATGGGTTTGGCTCTATGAGTGGGGAAGAGGTTGCAGACGGGGCCTTGGGCAGAAGGAGCAGGGATGGGGCTTGCCTTCCCCAGATGGTTGTTCATCTACCGCTCATCTGTTTATGCATGAATGTGTAAATAAGAGTCAGATCTTATAATTGATGCATGTGTGCACATTCTCTCTCTCTCTCTCTCTCACACACACACACACACACACACACACATACATACATACCCCTCTTTTTGCTTCACCAGAGTGGTGTGAAGGGGCTTGAAACATATGAGAATAAGGCATTCTCTGTATATCTAACTACCTAAATAGAATAGCATGCATTACATACTTACCACTTAGGGAATTCCATGTATAGACGCCAATGGGTCCCAAAAAAGTCTGGTAAGGATTGCTTACAGTGTTGCTGCATGTAAATCCAGAACTCATAAGAGAGCTAAGTAAACTGAGAACCAGGAGCAAGATAATCACAATGTTCACATTTTTCATTTCTGTCTTTTCCAGCTTTGATGTCACTGAAATATGATAGCTCAGTGTTAATTCCAGATCCAATACTTGATATTAACAAAGTCTATGTTGTTCAAAATACAAAACTGATCATGCAACTGGATGGACTGATGTACAAGGTAAGATTAAATGTGGTCTGTGTGTAAATATATGTGTAGATATAACAAATATGTATAATATATCTTGACTAAGAAACGCTTTCGTGAGATATAGTTGGGTCAGAGGTGATTACACTTTATACTTATAGCCACATAACTCCCATAGATCTGTGTGTGTGAATGGGAACCTAGAGCTCAGCTGTGCAGTTGGGCCGTGAGCCTATATACATTTGATTGGCCTCGTCATTACTTTATATGTGTAGATTTCTGTGTTTATTATTTTTCTCTCTTCCATAAAATCCTTCTAATTCTTCCTTTTAATTGTGGACTTTTGAGTTTAATGTATATAAGTAGTGAAATCCTATAACTGTAATCAGGCCTCCACAGTGTTTCTTTTAAAACAGGTTATTAAAAATAAACAGGAAGGGAAACTTCTGTCTCCTGTTTGACATGTTACTCTTGGGATCTGAGGAAACTTGATACCATAAGCCAATTTCTGGAAACTGTTCCATATAATATCACATAAGGCCCTGTTATATAAACTGTATACAAATGTAAGTAATTCTGCTTGGAATAAATAGGAAATGATAGTGACTCAGGAAGTGAACATTTCACAAAGTTAAAGTGAAGGTCAGTTTTATTATGACCTTATTACGAATGTAGCTTTATTATTTATTTGGGACCATTTCACAAAACAAGTCTGGGTCTATATCAGATAGGATTAGTCAATTCTTCTCTGTCAATGTTATGTTAACTTCTTCACTCCACTTTAACTAATCACAATAGAGACCTCACTCTACCCCATGACTAGGAGTAACTGATTTTAGGCCAGACATACTGCAATCCCAAGGTAGCCAATAAAATATACCTGTTTAAAAATGCAGTACAGGCAGTCCCCGGGTTACGTACAAGATAGGGACTGTAGGTTTGTTCTTAAGTTGAATCTGTATGTAAGTCAGAACTGGCGTCAAGATTCACCCACTGTTGAAACTGATCAGCTTCAGCAGCGGCCGAATCTGGACGCCAGTTCCGACTTACATACAGATTCAACTTAAGAACAAACCTACAGTCCCTATCTTGTACGTAACCCGGGGACTGCCTGTA